TATACCTATGAATACAAATGTTTATGCTGTGTAAGGAATCGAACCTGCGACCATCGGAAGTAAGGCGGTATGCTAAACCGCAGGACCACAAAGGCCCAATATTGGTGACAAAAAACACATAAATCGATAAAATACATAAAAATCAATTATCAAGCTGTAAAGGCATGTAATAATTTGTCTGTAGATTAATTAAACATTAGAAGCATTTCATTATTTAAAAATAAATTAATATTATGGTTATTTTTTACGAAATTAATTTTTATGCTCAAACCCATTGTATTATGAATGAGTATGCCTATAATATATATATAATAGATAAAATAAAGTCTAGTCTAGTCGTAGGTCTGTATACTGCATACAAAATATAATATGACATATATATATACCAATATACACACGTCACAGTTCTCTCAAACTCCGTTTACCATACGTTGTGCTAATATCATTAAAGATAACAAATAAATCAAAGTGAGTAAATAAACAGTTGTGACGTAGTCTTTATATGTAAATGTATACATAAAAAAATGTAACTGATCGTTGTCTGTGTTTATTTTATTTATACCTTCTTGAATTTTGTATATGGCGGACTTAATGCTATTAGCATTCTCTATTAGCCAACCTTAGATATTGCAGACATACTCGAAGGCGATTTAATTTATTAAATAAAATTATATGAGATAATATATAAATAGAAATATAAGACTATATATAATAATACTACATACAAACAACTGTACATACAAGATATATGAGAATAATCGCAATGTTGTATACATAAAAAAGCCTAAAATAATCACTGATACATTTTTTTCTGTTTGTTCGCTTTAATCTCAAAAACGGCTTAACCCTTTTATTAACAAATAACGTTTCATTTCTTTTACATATATTTTTTATTTAGATTTATTCATTTAAGCACATAGGCCTCTTCCAATAGTCTGTCTTTAGCCAGTCTCATCCATATTGGACCCTCCACGTCAATAGATTATAGGTAGATTCCATATCTGTCTATAATCTATAGATATTTAATAATGTGTAAGTTAAATTGCCTGTTGTTCAACAAGCAGGAGGTTTGTGGCAGATTTAATGACGTCAGTTATGACACAGTTGAATTCTAGGAAACGTTAGCGAGAACACGATGTCGCGTAACTCTCTTATTTTCGACGAGTCATTTGACGCAGCACACACCGAAAACTACCTAAATTGCAGTTATTTATATTATAACTAAAATATCTCACCTATTATTCTTTTCTTTGCGTTCTTACTTTATTTTAAATTATAAAAAACCTACGATAGTAATAGATTAAATACTTAAAATGGGCAATACTGGTTTATTTCGTATATAATTAATAAATTAAAATTCTAAAAATAAGTTTTATTATTTTTTTTTATCTTACACAGGTACCATAATTAAAATAGGTTTTTAATCGATTTCAATATAGAAAAACATGCTAAATTGCATGTCTATGTGTGACTGCAGAACATTTTTCAACGTGGACCGATTTAGATTAATATTAGATATTTTATTGAAAGCTTGTCGATCTCATTATAAATATCGTATAAATTACATAAAGATCTCATAAGTGCTTTTCAGTCATTCTAAATATTGCGAAATACATATAATTTCGGACATTATTACTTGTGATCAACGATTGAAGATTTTTTCGCTGCCTAAAAAGCGTATAAACATTTTATTTTTCATTTTTATTTTAGATTTATAATATGAACATGCATATTGTAAATCTAAAATAAAAAATCAATCGTTCAGTGAACCTCTAAAGGCCAGCGATCAACAGCATTAGAATAGTTCGAAATCTGTATGAAATAAGATTGAATATTTGACCCTATACATATAAAATAACGAAGGTCATATATAAGTTATGGCAGGTGCTCCGACATTCTACCAACAATTAGCCCACTTAACCTGCAACTAGGCGTAGTAAACAAATCCAGTCTTTGTCCACCGCGTTAACGTGCCCCGGCTAAGTGGTGGACGATCCTTGTTAACGTTTTAGGTTAACAAGGGGACGGTGCTGTTTACGTCGCCCGTTGGTACAAGACAGAAGCTGTTCACATCAAACTGTTGTAAGTTTCATGTGAAGAAGCGATGCAAGGATGTTAATCTATAATCTCAAGACAATACACACGGCGCCATCTAGACCCAAGTTAAGCTAGCTAAAGCTTGTGTTATAGGTACTAGATAACTGATACAGATACATAGATCTTTTTTTTCTTACAAGCATTATACATAGGAAACACCCAGATACACCCACACAAGTAAAGTCAACATCATCAGCTCATCACTGCAATCCACTGCTGGATATAGGCCTCTCGCAAGGAACACCCCTGGACACGATATAAATAGTGTAATGAGATTGAATACTTCTTTATTATGAAAGATTATTGTTAATATACATATTACATTCATATGTGGGCGGTATTGTATACTCTACCTCTAGTAGCACCCACTGCTAAAATTATAATTCATATTTGTTGTTCCATAAATTTAGATTATCTCAATAGTTTTAATGTTACAACTTGTGAAATCAGTGATAATATGCCAAAAAATACTAATTTTATCGAATTTCCTACAACCGCTTCTAAATTAGACTACAGTCAAATACGTAATAATATAAATAACGTACTTACATATAATAATATGTATGTACAGTATTGTATTCTAAACTTATTGTTACTGAAAGACATCAACAGTAAATATTCTAGACCTTTGCAATAGTATAATGCAGCTTGTTACTTACTTAAGTACTTCTTAAATTATGGTATAAAGAAAAGCAACCCTTATACCTATAGCAGATAGGATCCCATTAGCATTGACAAGTCAGTCGCCTGAAGCAAACTTCAGAACGATAATTTAGCTACTATTAGAAGATACAGCAATTGCATTTTTTTTAATAATGGTAGTTACAAACAAGTTTACGGCCCTCCTCATGGTAAGCGGTAATCGTCGCATATATAGGCAACGGATTTTGAAGCGGTTTTTTTTTAAAGATATAGAGGAAAGTTTGTATATAATATATGTGCGATGTCGGGGCAAGTAGCTAGTCGATTGATGTTTCAAATTTCATTTATAGGAAAATAGTACTCAGTCTGACATCTAGTACTAAACAATTCAATATAGGGAACTTCCAGCAATCCTAAGTCTAATGTAAAAGTGTGTAAAATGACAGTCGTCTATATAAATACTGTTATAATGAATCTCATACTATATATACCACTATTACATACTAGAAAAAACGGTAGACAAAAAGCTCTTCGTATTGCTTTATCTTCTTACATATTATTTTAATAAATAATTGAAATTAACAATACCTGTAATATACCAATTTAGTTTAATTTATCTGAATTAGTATTACAAGAAGACAAGATCTATTTTTTGTTTGTAATAGATAAACTACTAAAATATGTTATAATTTAAAAAAACTTTCTCTTATACAGAGCATTATCAGTGTTGCATGGGCTGTAACTTCATAATTGTCTCCTGGCCAACCCCCTATTTGAGATCAGCGCTCCTATCTTAGTTGTTAAACCCATCGTCAAAAGATCGTAGCTGCTAACCCAGATGGTTGATGGACGATGTTCTCTATCTCACTTGTCTTTAACAATGGTTATCACTTGTCTGGTTAAATGATCTGTATTTAACAAAATTGTTATCCCTATAATAATAATACACACGCGCGAAGTCTGGGCGTGTCGCTATGTATTCTTAATTTAATTTACCTAAAGTTACTTACGTCACAAGGTATACATACCGTGTTACGTTGACCGCCAAATGGTATTACCTAGCCCTTTATAAAATATATCTGCTACTTGCTCTGTTTATATATCAACATTGAGACAAACTGTCACCCGCTGATATTCTGAAGTTGGTCGTTTAACACTTCAAAGTCAACAGTAATGTCACCAAGTCGGTCTCATGTCAAAATTCGGCATTTTCCTCAGCTTATATTATCACATATACGGTAATGGGTAGTGGGTACCGCGGGTACGCGTGTGCCGGCATCTGAACAAACATACATATATAAACTATAACAACGCTCTACAAAAATACACTATTTTACTTCTTTCTCAAACAATTTACTTATCTTATGAGCGCGTGTCGGTGACGTTCGTAAAACGGTTTACCTCTCGTAAAAAATATATCGTGAGATCTTATTTTTGACAGCGACTTTTGTTGCATAAATTATTCTACCACATTTTACTTGACTTTAACTACATACTAATACATGAACAATGCTTCCATAGACATAGTCCAGAAACTGGGAATATGTTCCTTCCGATGAATCTCCTGTCAAACGGAGATCGATTTACGGAGAAATTACAACAGTCTGACCCAAGGTTTGTACTCTTGGCTGTGCCCTTAGACTAAACTCATTCCATCAAGCTGAAATTGAGCTTCAACTGCTCCATGAGTCCTTCCGAGGGTTTGGAATACCACTATCACATTTTGTACTTACGAAAATGTTCTTCTCAATTGGATCTATATACCGAACTGGATGGTAAGGAAAAAAATTATAATGTAAAAACTTGACGTTCATAAGCGGCTAAAATGTCCTACATGAATAAATGATTTTTGAATTTGAATTTGAATATTAAAAAGAGGAAAATTTTAATCTTTTTTGTAAGATAAATCAAAAGTAAACTTAACCGATTTTAAAAAATCTTCAGCTATAGAAAGTTATATTGCTAGCGAATGGCATATGATATTTTATTAGAAATGCTTATAGCGTTTGCTCCCAATGCGGGGTTGGGAGGAGGAGATATAAAATATTGGGGAAAAATGTCTCAAACTCATAAAAGTTGAAAGCTAGGTTTTCGACTCAACCTTCAATGGCCATACTCACGTCACTCGTCACTTCGTGGGAATCTCTTTTCCTCAGTAAATCATATAATTGAAACATTATATACAGTATTTTAATAAAATGATAAGTAAAAAATGGGTCTTTAAAAATTTCATTAAGATAAAAATAACATTAAAACATTTTATTTGTTACTTAAACCATTCAGATTATTCACCAACCCTCTCCGCTGCGGCGGCTTCATACTTACACACATCCATCTTCACATGACGATATTCTGAAACAATAATCCGATAAATAACACTAGTACAAACAGAGATCTTGTCTTTCTCTGTGGCCATAATTAAAACACATAATTAAAACGATACCTTTATTTACTTTTGTATATTTTTACTTACTTTTTATATTTTTGTTGTAGGTATAATCAAAAGGTAGATAGATAAATAATTTAAAATATTCTGTTACTTTTTTACAGCTACATTATCGACGTGTAGTATTAGAATATTCTTAATCAATTCTAACCGTGCAATGCCAAACTATATTGCTTATTTAACCCTAGATAACATAGCGCCATTTGGCCCATGCGAAGCAGAGTTTGTGTAATGGGTAGGTACTAGACAACTACAAAGAAAGAAAGAAATATTTAAATACATATTAAGCATATAAAATACTCAAACTAATGTAAACAATGGTAGTCAGGAATTAACATGAATACAATTTTTTATATCATGCTAGGTTCGATACCTGCGACCGTCGGCAGAAAAGCAGCGTGCTACCTAGGCCATTGTCTTTAAAAATATACAGTCAAAAATATACTTACGTTTCTTCTCATCGCAATTGTATTCGTATAGGTCACAATTGTCGTTGAACATTCTCGTGATGCCGAGAGAATCCTGGCCGCATATAGGTACGAAGTCGTGTTGACACTGGTCCGCCATTTTGCAGAAATTTATTACCTAAAAACAACAATAAAACCTGTGCATAGGAAAGCTTTAAATTACGACTACGTGTGTAAGTAAAGTTGACAGTTATGGTATTTTTTATTAATTGTGTTAAATTAAAATTCCACGGTTATCGAACTTACTTTCTATAGTTACAAATTTGATACCCGCACAGTACACATAGGTATACTACGATGTCAGCAAACAAGCATACGCCCCATCTGATATTAAACGGTTACAATAGCCTAGACGTATGAAACACCAGGGGTGTCATGTGCGCATTAACCCTTAAGAAACCTTAATATACCCTTGCATGAATTTGTCTGTTTTATATATTCAAATATACAGTCTGTGGCAATGTTGCCACAGACTATAATATATGTATGAAAATATAAACGCGCTTTCGAAAAAAAACTAGAATTATTTATATTAATTTAGTCAATCGATTTATAAACTATAAAATTTATATTTAGGTATTTCATTACCGGCTCTAAAGGAAAGAAGTAGTCTTCAGCTTCTATTTCTACGTGAGACCATACTTCTGCGGCCAGTAATAGTATTGCTGTACCTGAAACAATTTTATATAAATTAATCAATTCATTAATAATTTTTAATATATCACTAACATTTTTTTGCCGAACTATTGTATAATGGTACCAAAAATCGACATTATTAATGTCGATCAGAATCAGTGAAGGATATTTATTTTTATCTGAACTAAACATGTTATTTAGTCAGTAGCAGTGTAAATAATTGAGTTATACCCGTATTATGTACATAAATTATAATAATTCACCTTAAATTAAATAAATGTGGTAAATAATTAGTGATCTCGTGGTAAGGACTACCCATAAGCAGACGAAAGGGGTCACAAAAAACAGACAATCAGACAAGTAGATCTGAAATGAGGTAGACTTTATACAATATTTTTTTGTTTGTCTAGGTACTACTTATTAAGCCGCCTAACAAATAAGTTAAATATAAAATAGAAATAGTTGAAGAATAAGATAAGGCAGTAAACTGACGAAATAAGAGCGCTAACATCTCAATCCTGGAATGGAATGGAAAATATCTGGAATGGCAACGCATGAGTGGTAAGTATCAAGGGCGATCATAACGATTTCGTACTATTCTTCATGTAGGCCCACAGTTTGTTTGCCATTACAATTAGATAATATTAAATAACTCTGGACAATTAACACAGCGCTATCTAGTCCCACGGTATATAAGCAGAGTTTATTTACTTGTGTTATGGTACTAAACAACTGATATAAATACTAAGATACTTTTTTTATAAATACATACATCATATTCATAGAAAACACCCAGACCGATACAAACAATCATACTCATGAATACAAATGTTTGCACCGTGCGAGGAATCGAACCCGCGACCATCGGTAGTAAAGCGCTGCGCTAAATTATCTATCCCTTTTTAATATCTGTTAAACTAAACCCTCTAATACACTACTTACTTGTAAAGGTTTTTAGAAATATCATAATCTCACAAATGTTCCCACAAGCACTCCACTTGAAGCACCGTGATAATCTAGATCAGAACAAACAATAGTGTTTACATCGAACTATTACAAACTAATGTAGTAGAACAGGAAATTACGAACAAACAGGCGTCTTTATACTAAAAACAATCTAGACTAAAACATCGCTGTGAGAGATCATAAACATTTTATGAAGATAATAATTTTCAATATATCGTTTTAATTTGAGAATTTAATAATGTATATATTTAATACTAAAGTATGTAATAAAAACTTATTAAAGACAATTTAAAGCTAAATGATTGCTTGATGATTTCATTTGATTAAGCAACGGTATTGATTTTTTTACAGTTTATAATTTATTTCTATGTCTACATTGACGTGCCATGCTACAATTTTTCTAAATTTAAAAATTCATCAGGTATTAAATAAGTTTCTTTTGAAAGTTAAGTTTTTTGTGAAACTAAACAATACATTCTTATACTAATAGACATTATCAGTGGTTATTGTAAAGAGATAAATATCATTACAAATTTAAGTAAATTTATCCTAAATAACACGTGTTTACTATGTTTTTTATTTGATGTTGAATTTCATCCCAGTACTTTAATAAAATCTATTTCTGTATCTTCATTGTGCTCTACGCGTGTTATGATTGTTCAACCTCTGTTTCACATCCCTATTCATACATATTAATTAAACAACAGAAATTTCATACAAACACAGCTCTTCATTCTACTTCAATGACATCGTCATACATGAATACTAAAAATAAACTCATTTCCGACAGTTATGTCGCATCATTTCTTGATTCAATGTAAGTACTTTCTTTACTCATATAAAAAAATACATAACAGAATTTTATTTCCCGAATCTAATTAAACTAGTTCACATAATAAATTAATATAGAAATTTAATATATATCGACAGCTTTTGTATTTTATTATTTAGTCAAGCAGCTTGTTTTAAGCCAAAATATATCGATATATATTTCGCAGGACTATGATATCATGACTCATACCCTGTAATTTTAGTGGAGTGGTAACCCGACAGTGACGTGATAACGTAATAGCTGTTCATATACTAAGCAAAGGCTACCGTTTACCTTCATTTGGGCTATCAGCTTCTTTATCATCCTAATTACATACATAAAAATATTTCCTAATAATAAAAATATTTTTATGTAAACAACATAAAAATATTTTTACACAATAATAATAGAGCTACTAGGTATCTGGTAGCTATTAATATTAAACTAAAAATTTATTTATTTTTACAGGTATCTGTTATTCATACCTTTACCTCCTAGTCTTTGGACATATTCCAAATTATGCAGTAACACCATCTGTAAGTTGAACTATATTTACTCGCTTTTATTAAGATGACTTTTCAAACTTAGTAGTATCAATGTAAGAGTAATTAAATAAATAGTAAACATTTTTTAATGGAATTGAAACGTAATACGTTGAAATTAACAAAGTATTTATTGATTTATTAAAACTACAACTGTGCATTATCAAAATTAACTAATGAAAGTATATGTATAAGGAAGTAGAAGACCGAAAAAGAAATAGGAGTGTGTGAAATATAATATGGCAAAAAAGGTAGTGAACAGAGATGACATACAAATGTCTCTATCTACATACACCATTATAATAATAAACATATAATTAGATGTATAATTTTATTATTTATGTAATTCCAGAACAAAATAGATCAATTCTGCAGCTTAGCAGATACCTGTGTTCACGATACCATTCCTATATGCGGGAGAATGGGGGATGAGAAACGCACTTTCATGGATATTTGTGATATGCTCGAGTTTGCCTGTGATACTAATCAAGGTATAATATATATATACACATAATATATAAACATATCTCTAGACAATTTACACAACGCCATCTAGTGAGACTAGATGGCATTGTAAAGCAGGGTTTGTATTATTAAAACTAGATAACTATATCTATGTACTTAGAAACATTTGTTATGTAAATGCAAACATAATATACATAGAAAACATCCAGACCGATACAAACAATCATATTCATAAATACAAATATTTGTACCGTGCGAGGAATCGAAACCGCGACCATCGAGAGTAGGCATGTGCAAACCTCTAGACCACCGAGGCCGCAAAACTATCACTATACACCAGTAAATTCATATAAAAGAAATCATTGTAAAAAAGGACAGAATTTGAGAATATATAGGTAGAGTAACTTAGGGACTCTAATAAATATGTGTCAGTAGAAAATTTGAAACCATTCTGTAGGTTGAAATATATTCAAAAATAATTTATATTTGCAGTGTTTACGCATATTGATGACACCGATGGATGTCCGCAACTTAAAAAATGATGAAAGAACAAAAAGAAAAAGAACTACGGTCATTAGATGACTTATATAATTCTATTAAATAAATGGTAACAATATTGACGTATCCGTGTATAAATTGTCTTAATTTTTTGTGTTTTTTCTTATCTACGTTATATGCATATCTATTTCTTTGGCATATTAATTTTACAAAGAAAGAGAACGGATTTTCATATGAGAAAAGCACAATTTGAAACGTACATTATTCCATAGTGATATATATTGTATTAGAAGTTTTGCACTAATTTAAATGCTAGTTGACATTTGACAACTCCAACTACAATTGAAACTAACATGTACGGTCTTGATAACGGAACTATTTGCATTGTTTCACATTTAAATTTAAAAACCTTATGCCTTATTTTAAACAAAGTAACTATTAATCGCATATCAACAACATCTAGAACCGCTTGCGAGGCTCAGACGTATAACTTTTTACGCAAAAAGAATATTTACTTAAATATGTGTTTAAGTATCATTACGGTAATGTGCCCTGGGCTGACCTGCGATTGTGTGAGTGGGAGGAGGAGATCTGGATTTACATGTGAGTGACAAGAAGGTTGATATCTCGAAGGTTGACCGGGTAACAGGTTGAGGCAGAATAAGTATAGCGAGTGCGGTAACGTACGGAACGGCCGCATCTTAAGCGGCTGATACACTATACAAACCAGAGTTAATCTACCGAGGAATAGAAACGTTAGAGATCAGTGATAACGTCGAATAAAACTGCTAAAATAATTCATTACCAGTTTTTTTTTTATGAAACTGGAATGGTAATCAATTAAAAAATATTGTCGAATGAGAATTGAATGTGGTATAGAGTATATAAGGTCAGCTATACCTTTATGAAACCTCAATAAACAAGTGTTATATGGCATCAAATTACAGCCATGAAACTTTACAAATACTCGAATTTTGCGTATATGGGCGTATATGCCGAGGGTAGGTTATTAATAATTTATATTATTAGATTTCATCACAAATAAAAATATCGATATGGTGATACGCCTGCGGTAGTACTCATGCTTTGCCTCTCTAACTACTGCTTTGCCTAACTAACATGTTATACCTCCGTGTACCCTGTAGTTTCCCTGACATACCTCAACTTCTAACAGAAACACAAGTTATAAATCTATATCTATAACTTTGCGATTGAAATAGACGTACAAATGCAGATAACTTTGTATAACCTACTCTTAAACATAATATTCTAAAGTTTAAATAAATACTCAAGTTACTTATGTAATTATGGTATTTATAGATAAATACGACATTATATTAAAGGCGAAGCGGTAATTATATCCAATCATATTTAGTATTATTAAATCTTAATCAATGATATTAAAATTTTTAGGTAATTAACTTCCTAGAAAAACAAATATATTTATATTTTAAAGCACCTAACAAATATAAAGGAATTATTTTTTATTATCTATATTTGTTAAAATTATATATTGTGACCCTAAATTTTGAGGGATCTCTACTTGCTGTACTGAATTTCAGTTTCATTGACAAATAATGCCAATATTGTTAATTGTCAAATCATCGATTCGAAATTCTTAAGTTTTTGACACTAGAAACTTAATCATATTTAAACTTATAATTTAAATTAATTATGGTTATATTTCGACCACTGGGCGACCACTACTTTTAGTAAATACTCATATTTCGTTAATTTAATAAAAAAAAGAATGTAATTTAAAAATAGAACCCGCCTACAAAAATGGAAAGTTGGAAAGTGTATCTAAAAAAAATAATGTTAACCCTACGCCAGTAAACCGGCCCGTATGCGATCCGTGAGAAAGGTACAATTTGAACAAGCCATAATTAGCAAGCGGGGCATTAAATCACGAGCATTCGACGTCTGCCGCGCTCGTATCCGCGCCCGCTTGCGCCCGCTTGTGGCGATTACGACGATTAACCTGCATAAGGTCACGTCGAACAGGTGGATTTGTGAGGTCAAGGATATTTGCATCTTAACTGTTGGTAAGATATACGGGTAATTCAATTATAAATGAAAAAAGCTATGCAATAAATCTAATGATTTGAGATGCTAGTTAGTGATTGCCTGTATCTTCGTGTAACTAGATTTCGTTTGAAATTATCCCACGGGAAGGTAGTAGGACAAAACTATCTTAATATGGTCTAGTGTCTATTTCACTATTTTGTTGATGTTATAGTTTCTCCACAAGTTGTATATTGTGGTTAATCAAATAAAACGTCAGAAAATCTTTACAAACTGTTAACTAAAAAGACCAATATTATTTACAATATGAATAATAAAATAAAATTAATATTTTGACTGTATAAGTATTAAATGAGTAGCAATGAGTAGTACAAAATAATAACTAATTATACATATCGAATGCATTTTGCAATTATTTTTCTTCGATCTTTTCAACATTTATTACTTTTATTTTAATTTTTTTATTTATTAACATTTATTATTATATGTTCGGGAATATTTACATATCAGAAATAACAATATCTACTGATACAGCCTATTAAGTTCTAACGGAACTTTGTGTTATATACGATTATGCTAGTATACATAAATAATAACCATTCCTAGAAAAAGAAAAGTAATGTAACCCTTGATTTAATTAGTGTTTGTTAATAAATACTCTTGAGATTCAAATAGAATCATCAAAATTTCAAGACATGTGAATATATCGCAAAATATGCATGTACCAAAAATAAATTCGTATAATATAAAGTTTCAAAATGCCAGACATACAGTCATTGAATTAAGAACCTCTTTACGTGAAATCGGTTAAACATTTCCTAGAGGTCATAAACTCTAACACAAGATCAATTAAAAATGTAGCGATTGGTAGTTTAAGTGTTGGTCAATATCGGCAAATACCCTTTGTTTGCGGAGCAGGTAAACTGGACGGACGCACCGGCCGGTAATCGTGCCATCTGCGTACCACGCCCAGCGACCCCACGACCGTATACCACAGGGCTACCACCGTGGTAATATGTATTTACCACCACTACAGATTTATAGACTTTGTATGTAAATACAGAGGGAAACTTTGTAGAAAGTTGTATATAGTACATGATATAATCATACATTAACATCTTCAAGATAATAGCAATGTAAATACATTGCTCTGTATCTATATGCAAAGTCTATAAATCTGTGCTGGTGGTTAAATTAACCAAACCAGACTTTGTACGAAAATACAGAAGGAAACGTTATAGAAAGTAGTCTGTGATACCTGATACGACAATGATTTCTTCAAGATGAGAGCATATACCATCATTATAAGCCAGTAAGAACCATCGTAATGTCATCATCGCAATGTGGTATTCTGTAATTACCACCATCTATGTTTAAGGGACGCTGACGAAATGGAACAAGCAAGGAATCTTTTATCTTACAAACTTGTTAGCATAGGCAACCATTATACATTAAAAACTTTAACATATTGCTGATATTGGAGATTCTTATTGTTGACTATAATCACTCATCTAGTGAGTTACACGCTTGTTTGTCCCTTTGCTATCAAACATCTCATGTATTATCATAACTAAGAATCTTTTTACATGTATTGCGGTAAACAATATGTAACAGTGAAATTATAGACTACTAAGTCATGATACCTTAGTCCTCAGAAATGTCAACATATGGGTACCAAGAGGGTCAGACTTTTATCTACTGTTTTAAATATGACGTGGACCCGGCAATGCAAATCCCTTGATTATGCAGCTGATGGACGGCGGTAACTTATTATCAGATATGCTGAAGATTATATGCGCCATTCATATTAAAAATAATATAAGATACACAATAATTACATACATAAATACATATTTTACCGAAATGTTCTATTTTTAAGTTTCTCGATAATTTTAATCCGCTATACCTACTTGCTAATAATTAGTAAGGTTAGCTTTAATCTTATAATTCACAGACATTATATGAAAAAAATATTAAAAGATTACAGAGCAAGAAACGTTTAAGTTCAAACTGCGGAGCCATGCTGAGCTAGCTCATTATGACCGATTCGAATTACGGTGACTCATCCAAATCAACATTTGAATATTCCATGAAAAGTCAAAAAGCCGCCGATATCCTGAGAACTAACTCTAAATGACTACTAATTTGAATTTCGTTACCTTATAATCTTTCAATTTTGCAACAACAAATAAAATTATAGCTTTAAAATATTTCGTGGCAGCCCTGTAGTTAAAAACACATCCAAGTCAAGTCTGCCTTACTTACCAGTAACGGCCTTAATGTTTTAAAGGCACTACAAAAAATACAAATGAAAGGTGTAGTGGTAAGTAAAAATAAATAAGCACATATTATAACCTTAGTTTGAAATATTAACACTAAACAAATGCAGCGAGTCGAAGCTTAGTTGTTTACTACCCAAAAAGGGCGTGAGTACAAATCTGGCGGACACCGAAAAAAACTTTGTATCTACTATATTTATATTTCTGACTGATACTCGGGTAAAGAAAACACACATCGAAACCCAAAAATAATCCAAGAGACAGCTAGAAGCATATACGCACTTGCCTGCTATACAAAACATTATAACATAACATATCAGAAAAAGCAATTGATTTATACTATAATAAATATATTTGACTAAAATATATTTATATGTTGAAATTTATTCGATTATATTTGGAAAACAAATGGTATATAATTATGAACACAATCGAAACAGAGAAACTTTAGGTATTACTGACAACGTAGAAAAAAATTAACAATACTTACACAAGATGTATAGTATCCTGACACAATTAGTAGTAGTACGTATCTTATAATTATAATGCCTTTTAAAGATTATATATTAAATCTTGAAAATTTAAATTACTAGTATGTTATTTTTAATTGTTTTTTATTTGTCTATCTGCGATTTGTATATCTGGACTTAAGGAGGGGTAAAAGTCATGACATTTTGTGTGACATAATACACATAGAAATATATAAGTAACAGTAATAAGGTAAATGTAATGTACACAGG